GTAAGAGCAGCGTCCCCCGTGGGAGTTGCTCCCACAACCCCAGGTGTGCCCGAGTTAGAACCTGAGGCTGTGTGGGCGCCAGGAGTGGCCGGGCTGAAGATCAAAGCCGCCCTGGGGGCGGGACCAGGCAGGAGTGGGCGGGGCCGAAGAGCAAAGCCGGCCTCGGGGCGGGACCAGGCAGGAGTGGGCGGGGCTGAAGAGCAAAAGCCGGCCTCGGGGCGGGACCGGGCGCCCCTCGACGCTCTGCTGCTTCTGCCTGGAGACGGCCGGCTTCCGCCCGCAGGCGGTGGTGTCGAGCGCCGAGCTCCCCGTGTCGGGTGAGGGGCCGCTGATGGCGGCGCGGTCTCGGCAGGCGGAATGAGTTTGGCTGGGGGCCGGGCCCCACGGAAGACCGCGGGAAACCGGCTTTCCGGGCTTCTGGAGGCAGAGGAGGAAGATGAGTTCTACCAGACGACTTATGGGGGTTTCACGGAGGCAAGACCTGGGCCCAGGAAGAGGGAGGGAGTCCTAAGGGAGAAACCTGGGACAAAGAAGGGGGCGGGGAATAGAGAGCAGCCCTGGCCGTTGGTACCGAGACACGGTGGGCGAGTCGGAGGGGGCGGGGTTGGGTGGAGAGAGATCACTGGAGCCCTAAGAGAGAGCCCGACGGGGCGGGGATAGAGAAGCCCTGGGGCACCGAGTATGCCGGAAACCTACGGAAGGTCTAGTTGCATTTTACTTCTGACGTCTAACACCCACGTCGTAGTCCCGTAATATATAGATAGAGGGGCTGAGCCTATTCCTTTTCAGCTTTAAAATGTAAACTCCTCAGATAACCCTTTCTTGACTGTCCTAAAAAGTGCCCTCATTATTTCCTTCATAGAACATTTCACTGTGCTTAGATTTGGTTTGCTTACTTGTTTATATTTTCGTATTAGTTTGTAAGCTCTGCAAGGTTAGAGATGGTCTGTTTTGTTCAACAGTGTACAGTGCCTAGTTCAGTGTCTGATGGGGTAGACATTTGTTAAATTTGTATTGATTGACTGTCCATTCTTTAAGTATGTGGAGCACCTAGAGCAAGCCATGCACTGTGATAGGCTCTAGAAAAACACTGTTAAAAGTACTGCTTTGCCCTAGCTGGGTGGCTTAGTTGGTTGGAGCGTCATCCTGCACACCAAAAGATTGTGGGGTTCCATCCCAGGAGGCACCCACCCATCTTTCCCTCTCACATCAATGTTACTCTCTTTCTCTCCCTCCCTTCTTCTCTCTCTAAAATCAATAAACATATTCTCAGGTGAGAATTAAAAAAAGTGAAAATTAAAAAAATAAATACACTGCTTCCTCCTTATACATGTCAGATCCCATTGAGGAACGAGCTGGATTAACAGTTAAAATATTGTGTGATAAGGAATAAAATAAGTGGTAAGCACAGGGTGCTATAGTAACACATGGGAGCCAGAGTTGGTCAGGATGGGTATCTCTGGGGAGGTGATGTTTAAGCCGAGGACAGACAGTATGAAACGTGGGCCTTGGCTGGATAAAGAGCAGTAGGCCTGGGAACGGGGGTAG